CTGGGACTGCGACCCGACCAGCTGGATCGGACTCGACGCTCACGGTCGTACGGTCATCGCCGGCGCTGAAGGCTCCGTCAGGCGCTACTGACACGCCCTACGATCATAAGAAATGCATTGAAAAGCGCCTCGAGCGCGCGCTTCTATCTACAGCGGGAGAGCGTGCGTGCAGGTGCGGTGGTGGACGTGGCGAGTGCAAACGTGACTTTCTTCGCTCCGAGCACAGGCGGTGTGAATGCGGCTTGGACGATCGACGTGCGTGACGGGCTGCGCTTCGCATTCGAACACGGCGGCGGGTTTGAGCGCAGCGACATGGTGCGATGCAGGGCGAGCTGCGCACTCGGTGAGGTCTAGCTGAACGACAGCTTGCGTGCCAGCGCTCGCGGCGGCACTTGCCCCACGACTGCATCCTCTGTCGCCCCGTGCTGCGCGATTCGTGTATGTGTCGGTGACCGTTTGCTGAAGGAAAGCTTGCGTGACAGCGTAGGGGCGGGAGACGGGTCGGAGGGGTAGGGTGTGATCATCTCCATGGGGGTGCGCGGGATCTTTGCATAGTCCGTAGGACCTGAAGCCGTGGCATCAGAGCACTGCGAGGGCGAGCGTCTCAGTCCGTCCGCGAGTCTCTTTAGCAGCGATGGTCTGCGTGTGATCTCAGGTGAGCTTTCGGGCTGAGGGATAGGTTGCTGCTGAGGCAGACCCGAGGAGCGGCTGGCGGAAGGCGGATACTGCGGTAGGCGGCGCGCGCGCGGGGTCGATAACGACATCTCGGAGCGCGCGCTCACAAACGTGGCTGTCGAGTCCATGCTGCTGCGCTCCACCGTGCGTGCGCTGGCTGTTGCAGCGCGTGCCCGCTGCGGAGCTGGAGCGAGCTTGAACTTGCTGCTTGTCTCGCTTGGTGCTACCGGTGGTGCGGGGTGGTAGTACTGGGCGGGAGGTTTGCGCATGCTACGCAGCGAGACCACGCCGGCGGACGGCGCGTGGCTGCCTTCGTCAAGATCTTCGAGGGTCTCACGGCAGTGCTCGGGTCGAGCGGGTCGAGCGGGTCGAACGGGTCGCTCTGGACGTCGAGGCGCCTGCACGCTCTGGCTGTTAGTCTCCTGCTCTGCTGTAGCGTCGGGAGGCGGAGTGGAAGCCCAGAAGCCGAGTCCGTCGCCTGAACTGGCGTCGAGCAGCGGTCCACCGCCAGGCATGGTCATGGCGTCCTCACGTGCGGTATGCACAAGTACGGCCTCCTTCCAAGGCTGCGGTGGTAGGCCGGGGATGGCGTGTTGTGGCGAGCGGTCCGGGGTGGTGATGCACGTTGACGTTTCCGAGCGAGCCGATGATGGACTGTACGGATAAGCCGCCTGTTCGCGCGTGGGCATGAGCGCGTGCTGTGAATGCCAGTCCGCGATAATGCCGTCGAAGAGCATGCTGAGCGGACTCATGCCCTCTTCGGCATCGCCAGCATCATGCCTGTCTTCAAATTCCGGTGTCGGCGAGCTTGATGGCAGCATCGGGGCGTCGCTGGCAGAGAAGGTGATGATGCGACGGTGGTGCATGGCGTTTGCAGCTCGAACAGAATGCGTGTGCGGGGACAAGCAGCCGACCACGTGTATGCTGGATAGCTGTATATATACGGCTACCCTGGGTTTGGCGCGCACGGTGGTAAGACCGAGCGCTGGCTCGGCGCACGTTAAGATGCGCGATCGGACCTCGACGAGCGCATTACGATGGCCGAACCGGCTTGACCATCACGCCCGCCGCACCAAGCTGACTGCATTGACGAGGTGCTCAAGCTCAAGCGCAGCGATGAAGCGATTTCATCCCGCCAACGTCGGGATCGCCCGTGCACGTCAGCGCAGCGCAGTGCAGTCGCCTCATCCACAAGCAGGCGGCGCGTGCACACGGGGCCAGCATTTGCAGCGTGTCGGGCGAGGCGCGTGCGCAAGTCAAGCCAAGAGAGCGTGTTCACACCACCACACCTACGTCACGGGCAGAAGGTCGAATCGACAGGGGTATGAAGCGTCGCTTTACATCGTTGTGGCAGGGGCTTGGGCAGCGCAATGAGACGAGCGACGACGGATGGGTGGGCCTAGTTTTCGGGGATCCTAAACACGGTGATTTCCTGCTGCTTAAAGTAGCGTCTGTTTTCCTCGTCGATGAGGACGAGGTTGAGGTAGTAGCGCGTGCTGAACTTTTTGTTGACGTCGCGGAAGGTGGGCGTGAGCTCGAAGCCGCCGAGGAAGAGGCGGATGGGGATGGTCTCGCCGCGGACGGGGGCGCCGTCCATGATTTCGAACTTGGTGATGGTCTCGGACTCGTTGTACTGGTTGGGTGCGGCGCCTGTTGTCTCGCGGCGGATGATGGAGAGCTCCATATGCTTGATCTTGATGCGCACGAGAAGAAAGTAGATCTTGCCCACGATGACGTCTTTGAGATGGTACCTGTTGGGGCAGAAGAGGAGAGCGATGGGTGCGTGCGTGCGTGAGAAAAAGCGTGGAATGGCTGGTGGGGATTGGGATCGACCTACTTGGACTTGTTGTATTCAAACTCGATATGGAGGCAGTCTTCGATGCCGACCTCCATCTTGATTGCGTTGTTGGAATCTGGGGGCATGCGGTAGGAGTGCACCCAGATGTCGCGCTCCTTGACGACGTCGGTGAGCCGCCTGGATATGGTGACGCGGATGTAGTATCTGTTTGCGACCAAGCATGGACGAGCGTTGATGAGCTGGACGGCGGCAAGGAGGGGATGACGAGGTTGGCAGCGAACGTACCTGAGCTTTACGTTGATGCCGTTATAGCTCTCGTACTGCTTTTCGACGTTTTTGAACTCAAAGTCAAAGTTCTGTGCTGCGCGCATCTCGCCGGGCGAGGCGAGCTCCTGTACGAGCGAGAGGAACTCGTAGTGGTTACCGCGATCGTAGAACATCTCTGCAGATGGGGCAAGGGGGGTGAGCGGGCGTCAGTGATCGGGCATGCTGGCCTGAAGGCGACGAATGCATGCATACCTATGCTGCCGACAAACTCGATCTTGATTCCTTCGTGCACGAGCTTTTTGCCGTCGCGCACGCGGACGGATACCTGGAGTGAGAGCAAGATTGTCAGACCCATTGAGCTAGGTGAGGAGAGTGAGTGGCAGTGGATACGTACGGAGCCCTTTACGCTTTCGCCGTCAAAGTAGATGGGGCACTTTTCCTTGCCCGCCTTGTCCATCTTGATTTCGACTTGTTTGCGGTCATCCTCTGCGTCGAGACGCACGTCGACGTCGACTGGGGACGAGAAGGAGAAGAAGGACGCCATTGTGGCGGTGCTCGCCTAGTCGAGGCGTATGCAGTGTGCACGGAGATGCTGAGAGTCAGGGCGCGGCGCAGCGGAAGTAGCTGGCACGGGACGCAGCGGACCTGGCGCAGATGACGAGGAGGCAGATGTGAAGTGCGGATGCGGATGTCGATGCGGACGCAAAGAGGAGGGAAGGATGAATGGTCGCGACCGAAAGGGTTGAAGCTCGCGATGGTAGACGGACGTGGAGGTGTTGCTCTTTCGAGAGTCACTCCTGGCTGGGTGGCCTTTGCGTCGCCGCTGGGTTCGAGTGCCCCACTCGCCGGCCCCACGCGTGCCGCCCCGCCAAATTGCGAGCAAATCGCAAATCGGCATTCACATCGCGCCCGATTCGAATCGCCAGCCGCCCATCATTCGGCTCCAACTTCCTCTTCTCCCTCCAGCCAGACTCAAGGCTTCGCACCCATCGTGCATGCAATACACTCTGGCAGGGGAAAGTGTGGTGAACAAGTACAATTACATAGGCGCAAGGCGCAAGGCGCAAGGCGAATCACTTTCCGATCTCGTGCTCGGCCAGCAGCATGTTGGGGATGCCGCTGCGGATCTGGTAGATGTGTTGGCAGTTGGGGCAGATCATCTGGCCTTCGACGACGTGGATCTGGGCGAGGCATCGTCGAAAGAGTTTTAGGCAAGGTCAAAGTCAAAGCGTCAGCAGTCTGTTCTATAGACGAAGCCGGGCGCGATCGTCGCAACGCTGCATACTCACCTCGAGCAGCACATGGTGAAGCAGCTTGATCAGCGCCTCGTCCTCGAGCGGTTGCGAAGCGTCCGGACCTTGATCTGGAAGCGAAGTGTCTCCGAGGCTACGCGCCGTCTTGACCAGTGCGGGCCAGTCGAGCTTGGGAAGGAAGCCCTTGACGAAAGTGTCGTTGGGCTCGGCCTCGATGAGCTCGAGCTGGACGTCCTTGAGGATGAGCGGGAAGTTGTTCGAGGTGGTCTGGCATGCCTTGGCGTGGCAAGCGAGCAGATTGTGCGTGAGCAGCCTCATCGTGTCGGAATGCAGCGGGACGTGGATGGTGTGATGGCAGCTGCAGCAGCAGATGGGAGCTTCCGTATCTTCACACACCGAGTGGAGGCAATGCCGCCAAAAAGGGTCCTCGTTCGCAACCCAAAAAATTCCAGCCCGGATCGGTCACGTGACAACCAACATGCCCCGGTCTAACAATGCAAAATCTGCCCCCACCCGATACCCTCAGGGGTTGATCGTGGCCTGTCGTCAAGCGACACACGCAAAACCCTCCCTGCTCGCCGTTGGAGGGATAGCAGACGTACGATCCCCAACCCATGCCACACACACGGCTTCGGGCTGCCTCATACGGAGCGCCAAATGAGCACGCATAGAATCGATCGACCTCGCGTATGTCGATGACGACCTGGTCATTAGACGGTGCGGCGGGTGGTGGTGCAGGATCCAAAGGTGGGCGGCATGCGATCACGGACATGTCTTGATTAAATGAGGCATGACGCTCCACCGCTGCTGCTTCTAGCCACGCCGGATCTCGGACGATAATGGCGCAGGGAGCCTATCAGCTGCCGTGCAAGAGCCGGAGCTTGACGAGATGAAATCGCTTGGAGCGCGTGCCATCTTGTTTGCTGAGCAGAGGCGTGGGTGGGATAAAAGGTGCACCCCCATCCACCCTTTTGCTCTCACCCTATGCCGTCGCCCCCTTCCCCTCTTGCTCCCTCGCCCTCTTTCCTCCTCCCCTTCCCTCTTCTCTTGAGCGACCGCCTTCTAGCTGTTTGTAACATGTGGGCTCCTACGCTGCTGGTGGTGCTGGCGGGCGTGCTGGGCCTGTTGCGTCCGGCACTCGCCTTTGAGATCACGTTTCCCGGACCGACCAACTACTGGGTGGCGTGAGGATGGAACCAGATGGCGTGGAAGAGCTACGAGACGGATGCGCGCACGGTGACCATCATGCTGACCAACACGAACAAGACGCTGCTCAACGACGACTACGAAATCGGCAATGCGCTCCAGGGTGCACAGAACTCGGCCATGGTCTACGTGCCATGCGTTGCACCCGCCAGCGGCTACGCGCTCCTCTTCGTCAACCCGGACAAGTACGATCATCAGCGTAAGTACCAAAGTCGTGCCCGTCTACAGATGCGGAACTCTGCGACTGACGCTTGGCAGGTGAATATAGCAGACAAGGTGCTGTACACGTCGGCGCAATTTGTGGTCAGGCCCAAGGGATCGGCTCCTGATCCGGCATCGGGACAGCAGAGCATTCCGAGCCACATTCAGCCCTATCTCGAAACGCCTGGCATCGTGCTGCCTGCCAACAAGGCGGGCGAGGTGACCAACACCACTTCGACGGGCAACAGCGCCGAGAGCGAGCTGCCCAAGCTCGGCGGCGAATCCAGTGCCTTCAAAAGCTTCCTGCCCGAGGCTCACGACAATGCCGCCGCTCCACGCGAGGCCCAAGAGGGCTTGGCCTGGGCGCTCGGCGCCATCACCGTTGCACTCATCCTCGCCGTCGTGTGAGGCTCACTCCCATGCTTCGCTCTACGGTCCTCTTCATTTACTACTATCTCGAGTTGACACCTGCACCTTGACGAACTTGTTTCTACTGTCTAAGCTCTGCCACGACCTAGACGAAATATACAACACGCTCTGCTGTCGTCTTCGACGAATCTGTTGCTGCGTGTGTCAGCTGCGATTGTGGTGAGAAAGCGAGAAGAAGCATTTACATTGAAAGTGAGACCAAGATTGAAAGTGCGATGCAGGGGAGGTCGGCATTGTATGGACTCTATGTTGTGGGTTTCGCGCGCACTGGACTCAGTCGCACTCGGGCAGGGTGGCGCCGAGCTTTGCCATGCGGTCAGCGATCTCGTTGCCCTCGATGCCCGAGTGGCCCTTGACAAAGGCCATGGTGGGCTTGGGGAAGCGGGTGGTGAGCTCGTGGTCGAGCTGGACGATGAGGTCTTTGTTGAGCACCTCCTTGCCGGTGGCGGTGACCCAGCCCCTCTCCCTCCATCCGTCGATCCACTTTGTGGCGGCGTCCATGCTGTACTGGCTGTCGGTAAAGATGAGCAATTGGCGGCCGTCGTTGGGGCAGAGCTGGATGGCGCGGACGATCGCCAGGAGCTCTGCGCGGTTGTTGGTCTGTATCTTTCCGGGGAGTCGGCGTGCCTCGTTGAGGTGGTGGAGCGCCTGGTCCTCGAACCAGACGCCGTAGCCTGCGCGCGCGCCCTTCTTGCCGTTGCCGGTGGCCGATCCGTCGCAGTACACGATGGTCTTGCGCGTAGATTGTGCGGACGTGCCAGCAGTCGAAGTTGCGTCCGAGGGAACGGGAGTGATGATGCTGCGTCGTTTCTTGGACGGGGGCGGGGCGATGGCGCGTTTGTTCTTGGGTTGCGGCTGCGGCTTTGTCGGCGGGTTGGATGCGGGGGGCGAGATGGACTTGCGCTTTCCAAGGGTTTGCTTGGGCTTGTCGTTGGCAGCCTTGGAAGGAGGCTCGGTGTTCGTTCCGTTGACGAAGCGCTCGGCTTCTTGTCTAGAAGAAAACTTCTTATGGACGGCGCCCGAGTGACCAACAACGAGCGGCGCGGCCACGTCCCAGTCGGTGAAGACACCGGTCTGTCGCCCGACACGTATGGCGTAGTAGATGATTTTGGGCATGACGTCGATGTGTTGGGTGACAGGGTGATGATCAGAGTGAGAGTGAAGGAGGCGGCGCGGTGGCTGGCGAGTCGGATGCAGATGGGTTTGGCTGAGGCGGGAAGGGTGTAGCGGAAGCAAGGTGCTGGGTCTATATAGACGCGAGAGGTCGGAAGCGGAGCGCGCTGATGTTTGGGCCAAGATAGCAGCAGAGGATCGCGTCGACGAGGCAGTCGGAAGTACAAGCGCGAGGGCGAGCACGGAGTTTCTTTGGACGTGGATCATGTAGTCATTCTGGGAGTATGAGTGCACGCTGCTCTTTGCAGGCGAGCTGCAGGTGGACCCGAGTTGATGCGGTGTGCCGCTGTGCGCAGAACGAAGCCTTGCTAAAGTCACACGCCAAGTGACAAAGGGAGAGGTGCGAGGGAAAGAAAGGGGGAGCGGGATGAAGTGGATTTGGTGGGACTCGGTGACGAGGCGAAATGAGGAGCAGCGCAACGCAAACAGGCACGCGCCAGGGTCCAAAAGCTCAGAGGGGCGAGAAGAGGGAGCGGCGGCGCATGTTCGGATGTCGGATCGGCGCGTTTTTCTTCGCAGGGCTGCAGCTTCATAAAGCTTAAAAGTGGAGGCGCAGCAGCGGATGTTGCGCTTCTCCTCCACCGCCAACTCGACAACCCACGCTCAACGCTTTGTCAACGCCTTGTCGGCAGCATGAGTGCGGCACCCACGCTCACTGCTCCAGCAGCACCTGCAGGTGTCTCGCTGTTCAATCTGCTCGATGCAGGTGTCAAGGTCAAGTAAGTCGGCCCGCTTCCCTTTTCGTTTCGGCGGATCCGATGCAGCCTGTACTGATCCCACCC